GATTTGAAATTTTGGAACAACTCCTTGCTTGGTGACGAATGGAAAGATGAACTAGAATCCAAAATCCAGGATTCAACTGGGCTTTCCACACTGAGGATTAGAGCATCCCCCTGAATTTACAGAATCACCGTCATCTCCAGATTTCTGATTCTTCTTCTTCTTTGGCTTCTTACAGTCCGCCTTAGAGTGCCCTTTGTCTCCACAATTCCAACAAGTTATATCGGATCTATTCGGAGACTTGCCTCAATTCTTTGATTTTGATCGGCTATGTTGATGTTGGCCCTTGAACTTGCTTCTACCCCTTTGGTCAACGCTGAGAGCACTACCCGATGAGTCACCCATTTCTCTCTTGCGAATATTTTCACGAAGAACAACATGGATTTCATCGAACCTCAGCTTCTCAGACCAAGGAGAACTACTAAACGCAGCAACAACAGTATCCCAAGACTCGGGCATAGATGACAGCAAATCGACGCCTTAATTTCATCCTCGAAATTGATTTTCATAGAACACGGTTGACTCACAATCATATGGAAATCATTTATATGATCAACCACGGATCCACTTTCAGGCATCTGTAAATTGAATAATCTACGCATCAAATATACCTTGTTCATCGCAGATGGTTTTTCGTACATATTTGATAGGGCCTTCAATAACCCTCCGTAGTACTTTCTTTCACGATGTTGAATGCCACGTTCTTCGTCAAAGTCAACCGGATCATCCCCAATGCCTGACGATCCTTGAGCTTCCACTGCTCCTCTGTCATGGAATCTGGCTTCACCCAGTCAAGGGTTTGTGAAAATCTTTCTGGTACAGATAGTCTTTGATCTGCATCTTCCAAAAACCAAAATCAGATCTCGATTCCAACCTTCAAACTCTCCATCTTCAGTGATTGTGTTGATTCTCCTGAGCTCCGATACCAGTTGTTAGGATCGAATCAAGAACACTCACAGAAATCCGATGAATAAGGTGAAGAAAAATGAGAGAGTAGAGGTAGAGAGAGAAAGTGAAACACGTGAAATGACATGGTAACACCCCGTGAGTAAACTTCCACGGTGGCTAGATGTGTTTATTGATGATTTCAGGCAGATACACTTACAGAGAATTTCTCTCTTTTGCCTCTCAACAAAAAAACAGTTACAAAGGAGAATATATATATAGGCATTACAACTTAACCACTAAGCAAACTTAGCCGTTAAGTAAACTTAACCATTAAGTAAACTTAACTATTAAGCAAACTTAACCATTAAGCAAACTTATCCATTAAGCATCAGGCTCCACAACCTAACAATTTCTTCTCCAAGCTACACATTTAGAAATAATTGATATTATTTCAATGCATATATATTAGCTTTTAATCATTGGATCATTTATGTCTTTATTAATATGTTAATACTTTCTTAATTATTTATTAATGATTCCATTAGATAAATGTTTATTTAGCATTGAACTGATCAAGCATCATCGTATAGGTGTGCTAAATTATGAGGTTATTGTTCGCATTCTGAGAGGAGTTGGATATGCATTTCTTTGTTTGCTATCTCATAATCTCGTGTATTCTGACATGCGACTGCAGAACGTCATAGTTCCCCCGGTACAGAAAAAGTTTACATTGCACACGTTTACATATTTTTTTGGTGAAAGTTGCATTTGCAATATGTCAATGTTAATACATGACTGATTTTGTTCGCAATATGTGGAGTTTACAGGATGGTCTTGCACACTTGATTGATTTCGGTCGAGTTAGTGTTCTCAACAACGTTGATTGTGGTGTAGAAGGCGTTTACTCTAGACCTGATAGTAAGACAATTATATTACTTTAATTTTCTAAAATATTATATATTAACTTGTAGTTAAGTAACCTTTTCTTAATTGTGATTGGATGTCATACTTTTTTTAAGGCTTCTTACTCCTTTTGTAGGTGAGCGAAAATATTTGTGCAAGCTAGCGAGGGTGAATAAAAGGGATTCAGTGTATAAGATTGGAGTCCTGATATTCCATTTGATTACTGATCGACATCTTGCGCTAGGTCAGGTATTAAGAGCTGGAAAAGGAAATCACGATTGGAATAACCATTTTGATGTAGTTCGGGCCGGAGTTGACCTTAATGAGGTACAAGCAAACAACCTCATCAACTTGGGTCTCGACTGCTTCTTTGCAGCTGATACAAGTGATGATCCGATTTCTTTGGAGGCTGTTATTCATAGGCTGAATGAGTTACCAGAGTAGCATTTATTGTAAGTCTCAGTTACTTTTCTATTTCATGAGTAGTACAAATGGCATTTGTTGTTTAGAATGTGAAGTGATTTTGTTTTGAAACGCCTGAAACCAAAATGGCTAGCATCTCCCTAATAATACAAGGCTCAATAAAGTTATCTCTCACGGTTGAGTTTTGTTCAACTTCCTTAGCTTTGTTTCCATTCCATTAGTAGGGCTTGCAAATATCAGGCATCCCCTATCCACAATCTTTTGTGTGTGGCTTTCATTTCATTCATATTTGAGTTCTTAGGTTTTCAATCATTTTGAAGACCCTAGGATTTACTTCTTGCATGCAAATATCTTTTATAGTTTTTTGAAGTTGTTTATAGTGCTTTATATTGGGGTTATGTATTGCAGGTAGTTGACCCTAAACTTGCATCATACAGAGTTGGGAAAGCCTAGTATGCTGTGATTCAATTTGCGCAAACAGTTTTTCATCGTGAGCGTGGTAAGATGATTTGAAGACTTTTGAGGAAAGTGATACTCTAAATCAAAAGATAGTGGTTAGCTTCAGTTGCACTAACCAGCATGGGTACATGCTACTTTAAATTTGGTACCATCTGCTTGTAGCTCTAATGTTAGAGTTTATTTTAGGTATTCGTCCATGGCTTAATTTCTTT